GAGGCTATCCCAGTGCAGAGCAGAGCAGGACAATCACCTCCCTTGACCTTCTGCTGATGCTGTGCTTAATGCACCCCAAGACACAGTTGGCCCTCCTGGCTGCCAGGGCACACTGATGACTCATATTCAACTTGCCATCAACCAGGACCCCCAGGTCCCTTTCCACAGTGCTACTCTCCAGCCTCTCATTCCCCAGTCTATACACACAACCAGGGTTGCTCCATCCTAGGTGCAGATCCCAGAACTTCCCCTTGTTAAACTTCATATGGTCGGTGATTGCCCCGCCTTCTAATTTGTCGAGGTTTCTCTGCAGGGCCTCTCTGCCCTCGAGGGAGTCAACGGCTCCTCCCACATTAGTGTCGGCAGCAAACTTACTTAGTATACCGAGTCCTGTGTCCAAGTTGTTTATGAAGATGTTGAAGACAACTGGGCGGAGGATGGGGCCCTGCGGAACCCCACTAAGTGACATGTCACCAACCTGATGTTGCCTCATTCACTATAACTCTGTGAGCCTGACCCATGAGCCAGTTGCTCACCCATCGCATACCATGGTTATCCAACTGTGTGCTGGACATTTTGTCCAGAAGGGTCCTTTGAGAGATGGTATCAAAGGTTTTGCTGAAGTCCAAAGAGATTACATCAACTGGCTTCCCTTGATCAACCAGGTGGGTTACCCTGTCATAGATGGAAATCAGGTTCAACAAGCAGGATTTCCCCTCATGAAGCTGTGTTGGCTGTGAGTGATGATTATGTTGCCCTTCAGGTGTTTTTCAATAACTCCCAGAAGAATCTTTTCCATGATTTTACCAGGCACTGAAGGGAGACTGACAGGCCTGTAGTTTCCAGGGTCCTCTTTCTTCCCCTTCTTGAAAATCAGGACAACATTTACCAGCTTCCAGTCAGCTGGGACCTCTCCAGATTCCCAAGCCCACTCAAAAATCATTGAGACAGGTTCTGTGATGACATCAGCCAGCTCCTTGAGGATTCTTGGATGAATCCCATTAGGCCCCATAGACTTATAGGGATCCAGCTGGAGCAGTAGATCCCTCACAACATCAGGGTCAACTAGAAGTTGATCGTTCTCGCAGTCATGGGCCTCCAGCTCAGCCACTGGGACCCCCTTAGCCTGTCATCAGGGTTGAAGACAGAGGGAAAGAAAGCATTAAACATCTCTGCCTTGACTCTGTCCCTGTTTGTGAGATGACTATCCTCATCCTGTAACAGGTCTATGTTGTTTCTGCACTGCCTTTTGCTATTAACATATTAAAAAAACCCTCTTTATTGTCCCTTACAGTACTGCCCAGCTTCGACTCCAATTGAGCTTTGACTGCACAAATTTCCTCCCTCAGTAGCAATCAGCATCACTGTATTCCTCCCATGTCAGCTGACCTTGCTTCCACTGAACATACGCCTTTCTTTGCCTTATTTCCAAAAGAAGATCCCTGCTCAGCCAAGCTGGTCTTCTGCCTCACCTGCTGGACTTCTGACATTTGGGAATTGCCTGTTCCTGTGCCCTTAGAAGGTAGTGCTTAAAAAGCGACCAGCACTGATGGAACCCAGCACCTGAAAAAGTGTTTTCCCAGGGGAATTTACTTACTAATTCCCTGAGTAGCCTGAAGTCTGCTCTCCTCATGTCCAGAGTTGAAGTCTTGCTGGCACTTTTCCTCCTGTCAACAGAGATTTTGAGCTCAATTGCTTCATGGTTGCTGTGGCCAAGGTGGCCACCAATCTTCACTTCACTCACAAGACCCTCTCTGTTAAAAAGCAACAAATCAAGTAGGGCATCTCTCTTAGTTGGTTCTCTTAGTACTTGTATCATGAAGTTGTCATTCTGGTGTTTTAGGAATCTTCTGGACCTGTTTGTGCCAGGTGTGTGGTGTTCCCAGTTAACATCCAGCAAGTTAAAGTCCCCCAAAAGGACAAGGGCAGTTGATTTGTAGGTGCCTCTTAGTTCCTCAAAGAATAATTCATTGGCATTATCATCCTGGCTAGGTGGTCAGTAGTAGACTCCCACGATGACATTCACATTATTTGTTTGTCCCTTGATTCTTACCCAGAGGTTCTCAGCTATGCCATTGCCAACTGTAATCTCCATACATTCTAGCCCCTCCATCACATATAGCACCACCCCTCTGCCTCTTTTGCCCTGCCTATCCCTCCTGAAGAGCCTGTAATCAACCAACATGGCACTCCAGTCACAGGACTCATCCCACCAGATTTCACTTATGCCAGTGATGTCAAACCTGTGGGACTAGGCCAAAGCTTCCAGCTCTTCTTGTTTGTTCCTCATGCTGCATGCATTAGTGCAGAAATGTTTCAGGTGTGGTACTTTGTGGCCAACACCTCATGAAACAGAGTGAGGGATTCCATTAATACTCATTTCCTCAAGTTTTGGCACACTGTCCCATCGCTCATCACTGGCAAGCCTGGTTTTGTCCTTTTTCCCCTTCCAAGCTAGTTTGAAGCTCTGTCAACAAGCCCTGACAGCTCCTGTGCTAGAACTCTTTTTCCCTTCTGAGAAAGGTGCATCCCATCAGGTGTCAGCAGACCAGTTGTTGAGTAGATCATCCCATGGTCAAAAAATCCCAAATTTTTCCACTTACACCAGCCTCGGAGCCATGTGTTGATCTGATGGATCTGCCTATTCCTATCAATATTATTACTTGTTACTGGAAGAATCAATGAAATCACTACCTGTGCTCCTGATCCTTCAACCTGAAGTCTCTTTTGATGCCCTTGGACTTCTTGTTATTTTGTCGCTGCTGGCTTGAACAACCAATAACGGATAGTAATCAGAGGGCCTTACTAGACTGGAGAGTTTTCCAGTAATGTCATTTATCCAAGCCCCTGGGAGACAGCAGACTTCCCTGTGAGTTGGGTTGGGTCTGCATATTGGGCCCTCTGTTCCCCTTAGAAGGGAGTCTCCTATTAAAACTACCCTTCTTTTCCTCTTAACAGAGGAGATGGTGATGCAGGGTATAGGTGGCGTTGCTTTAGGAGGCCCCTCTGTCCCAGAAGGACCTTCACCCACCTCATCAGTATTCTGGTCTTCTAGTTCCAGGGCCTCATACCTGTTGTAGAAGGTGCCAGTTCTACTTGTTAAACTTTCAGAAGGAGGAGGAATCTTCACCTCACAGTGACCTGCTTCCAGCCTTCATCTTCAACAGACCCTTGACTATTGCAGGGTTCTGAGTCCATCTGCTTCTCCACAGCAATGGAGGTTCAGGACTCCTGAGAGTCTTCAGACTGTAGCATCTCTGTAAATAGCTGGTCAATCTCTTGTTCTTTTGCTCGAATACTATGCAGCCTATTCACTTCATCCTGTAGCTCCCTCACCTGGCAACACAGCTCTTCAACCTGCAAAATAACTGTTTGTCTGCCCCAGCTTCACAGAGAAGCATCAGGCGCTCCTGGGAACCTGTGACCCGTAGAGCTATATCTACCATCATCAGGTCTGTCTGGTTGGAGGCCTCTGACACAGCTGGTTCAGTGACTCCTGCAGCTACAGAGGATTGAGCTCTATGGTGTGTCAATACCATAACTGAAGAAGGTTACACTAGTACACTAATAAGGTTGGGACTGAAAGGATCTTATTGTGCTCTTCACCAGATACTGAGTCTGTTTGCTGCCTCTATTGGCTGCTCCCTGATGGTCGGAGAGGAGCCCTTCCTGCTCACCCTGCCTGTGCAAATGGCTGTGCCATGCTCCAGATCGCTCGTGCTCCTTTAGAGATGTTTAAATTGCCCTCACTGTTCCCAGCAACACACCCTCCGTGCCTGATGGGGCTTCCAGGTCCTGACGAGGCTCGGGGCTGCTGCTTGGGTATCCCTGAGCTTGGGAACGTCCCTGTACAGTTTGATCTAATCCTGTCCACCAGACTTACCTCACTTGCCGCTGCTGCCGCCTTACCAACTGACTGTTAGTTTTGGTCTTGCCTCATTTAAATTGTCCTTGCATTTCCTGGTAACGCCCCCTCTACGCCTGACCTAATGACATCCTTGTACCCTTCCTGAGTTACCGTCCCCTTCTTCCAAAGGCATAAACTCTCTTCTTTTCCCCTGAGTTCCAGCAAAAGCTCCCTGTTCAACCAGGCTGGTCTTCCCCACTGACTCGTCTTTTGGCACATGGGGAAGGTCTGCTCCAGTGCCTTTAAGATTTCCTTCTTTAAGTATGCCCAGCTTTCCTGGACCCCTTTCTTTTTAAGGGCTGTTTCCCAAGGGACTCTCCAAAACAGTGTCCTGAACAGGCCAAAGTCTGCCCTCCAGAAATCCCGGGTAGCAGTTTTGCTTGCCCTCTTCCTTACTTCACCAAGAATCAAAAACTCTATCATTTCATGGTCGTTGTGCCCAAGACAGCCTCCAACCACCACATCTCCCACCAGCCCTTCTCTGTTTGTAAACAGCAGATCCAGTGGGGCACCTCCCCTGGTAGGCTCACTTACCAACTGTGTCAGGAAATACATGCTTCAGCACAGAAAAATCACAGAAAATTCTAGAATTTTTCTCCAACATTTTGCTAAAATTACATTGGGAACAAGTCAGTACAAACTGCTGCAGTAATTATTAATGTGTCAAATGCACTTTGGTTATGGTTTGTAATAGCAGCAAATTCGACAAACCTCAATGAAAGGATTAAATTCCTACTTAGGAATGTGATGGTGTAAACTAGAGTATAGTGTACTGATCTAGACTGCCTTAAGAATTCAAATCTTGCTGGAGACTTGTTTCTGCTTGGTTTTTGCACTCAACTTAGTTGGGATGGGGCAGGATATTCTTTCACTCACGAACAGGATATGAGACTCAAGGTATGAGAAATGGAAGGAGCAGAATCAAGAGGAGAAAGCAGTTGGCTACCACCAAGAACTATGGTAAACTATAGTAAACAGTAATCCTGTATTGGTTGAGTGAACTGCAGAAGCACTGAACATGGTCTTTAACATTATCATTAATTTCCACAATGACACCATCTACAAGAGCTAACAAAACAACATAAAAACTTACTTGGAGTGAAAATGCTCGTAAAGCAGGAATAGGGATTAAGGCAGCCATAAAAAAAGCAGTAACATTGCTGATAGATGTAAGGGCTACACTTGCTCCTGTTCGCTTCAAACATTCACCTGTTCTGTCCTGAAAAACAAAGGAAAATGAATAAGGTGATGTTGTTCAAATGAAGAGATCATCCTACAGATATAACATGGTAACAGTGAAAAGTATTACAAGGAATTTCTGAATAAAAGTATGCATTTGAGAGTTTGTAAGAGTAAACAACATACTAAGTACACTGTCCAGGAAAAAAACAGATGATGTATGAAGTGCTTACATTTTTTGAGGGTAGCAAACATTATCAAAGATGACACTGGCTTCAAAAGTCAAAGATAAATGGATACTGGTATTATATCAAATACATCAGTTAAGTAGGATGTGTTTTGTATCAGTGCAGTCACTTGGTGTTCTTAACATTTTTCAGACAAAATAAGCATACATTACCAGTGTAGATACATAATGTCTTGAAGAAGCATGTGAGAAAAAAAACCCAACAAACAGAAATCCCAGGAACCACACAAAAAACAGAGGATCAAACACAGGACCCTTTCCCGATGCAGTAGGTTACTTTGAAGCATATGAAGGTTATAGCACAATGAGTTTGTATTGCCTGCATGCCAAACCAACTGGAAAGAGCACATGGAAGACATTGCTTGTACAAAACCAAACTGACAAATATATATTGCTTTTAAATGATTTGTACTTTGGATATGAAACTCTGGACCGAGAATAAAAAGGTCAATAAAAGGAAAGGATTATAAAAGTGAGTAGGATCTTAGATTTCAAAATGTGAATATGTGAATGTCATGGTTAATTATAAATAAAAGGAAAGAAAACCAGGCCCTAGGACAAAGATCTCTAGAACAAAAGTTTTTTTAAAAAATCATTACTAACTAATTCTAGGTATATTTTCCTCTACGAGGTTTTTTCTTTTACTTGATTCTTTTATTTTCCCCAAACACCCCATTTTGTCATTACCTCAAATGGAATTCTCTTATTCTGCCCTGTTTCACTAAATGCATGTACCAGAAGAAATATATCATCTACACCAACTCCAAGAGCAAGAAAAAGCAAAACCTTGGGGAAGAAACAAAACAAGCAAAGAAAACATTAGCATTTTTATATTATTCTTATGATTTACCATGCAGATAGTCGTTAGATGGCTAATGAAAATAAACTTTACACTACACTCTGAAGAGAAATCCAAGGTTAAAATGAAAATCAATGTGATGCAATACAGCTATTAATTTTCATTCTGAAAGACTGATGAGGAACTTGCAGTATACCATTTACAGGTATAAAACCTCACTAAAAGTAATTCAAGCTTTTGGTAGTCAAAGAATAACAGATAATATTTCAAGTTATTTTCAAAATATTTTCAGGAGTTGAACATCCCTATATATTTGGATGTAAGGGCAAAACTTGCAGCTTCTTGTGTACAACTGGATGCTTGCACTCATATTGAGACATAGAAAAACAAATATTCTAGAATCTACATAATTAAACAAACTGCAGGATATCTGCCTTTTTCTTAAAATTATCTGGCAGCACGTTCTCTTAATTTCTCACAGCACAAGCTACTGGATAGGAGAAAGAAGCAAGTAAAAATCAAAAAATCAAAATACTTTCTTGGTTTGTTTTTCCTCAAAGATTGATTCAGATGTGTTTATTTACTAACAAAGTTCTTGTAATTTAGCAGCAGACTTTTGGCTCCTTAATACCTGAGTTGTGGTAGCATTAAAGGAAATTCCAATCAATGAGCACAGACCCAGTCCTGCAGCCACTGAGAGAGTAACCAAGAAGATTCCTGCCAGCCCCACAGCACCTTGAGACTTTGCACAGTCCCACCGCAGCATTGTTAAACAGGCATAGGCAAGCTGAAAGTAAAGTAAGGATTGGATTAAAATGGATCCTTCTCTATTCGCCATCTCCCCCCAACAGTACACATAGCTTACAAGTGTTTTTAAACAGAACAGACATATCAGGGATGTTACATAGAAGAATAGGTGACAACCCTGAGGCAAATGTTTACAAACTGCAATTTTTCTCAGGGGAGACCTCATCACTCTCTACAACTACCTGAAAGGAGGTTGTAGCCAGGTGGGCGTCGGTCTCTTCTCCCAGGCAACCAGCAGTAGGACAAGAGGGCATGGTCTTAAGCTCTGCCAGGAGAGGTTTAGGTTGGATATTAGGAAGAAAATTTACAGAGAGAGTGATCAGACATTGGAATGGGCTGCCCAGGGAAGTGGTGGATTTTCCGTCCCTGGAGGTTTTTAAGATGAGACTGGATGTGGCACTTAGTGCCATGGTCTAGTAACCGTGGTGGTAGTGGATCAAGGGTTGGACTTGACGATCTTGGAGGTCCTTTCCAACCCGTCTGATTCTATGATTCTATGATTTTATTTTAAGTATTCTGAAAATGTTCTGGACTGTTGACTGGTAACAAGAAGGCAGCCATTTGAACCCTGCTATACTACTGGAGTCAATTAAACAAATAGAATTTAATTTCTTACCATTAGTAAGTAGCCACTAGCTACTCTGATAACACTGACATCAGAAAATGACTTTAGAATGTCATCCAGGGTAGTTGTAGTAAAGGAAGGCACCTTCTGATTAGAGTTTTCTGCAACACTTTGATGAACAACCTACAGGAAAGAAAAATTTAGTGTGCCTAAGAAAAAAGCCCATTATCATCTTCTACAGCAAATATCTGAAATCAACTACTTTTGCCTTAATGTTCCTATTAAAGTGCACACCCTATAACAGAGATTTCACTGAGGCTACATGAATAAAATATTTTTGGTAATTATTTCCTGCAAGCTACCAATTATCAAACAAGAATTTACATCTTCAGGAAAGACCACTGCATTCACAGCTCATTCAAAACATTTAACTCCTGAAATGTAAAGGAGGTTTCTTCTTTCTATAACTCTGCCATTGATTTACTGTTGTATGAGTTTTGCCTTTAATCCAAGGTCCAGTAAACAGTAAAACCTTCCTGGCTTCTCATATGTGTTTAAGCAAGTGGTTTCTTAATTAAAAAAAAGAAAATCAGCCTTTTCGCAGAATCACAGAATCAACTAGGTTGGAAAAGACCTCTGAGATCATCGAGTCCAACCCTTGACCTAACACAACCTTGTCTGTGGGAGGCATGTCTAAGGGCACAGGGGATGTGCCGAGGTAACAGAGCCCAAGAGAGCATGCCCCGACATAAGTAACCTGGTTGGTTAAGGAAGTCACATGGTGTTAAGGAATAAAACCGCGCCGAGTTTGAAATAAAGTCTCTTTGACCACACCACCGCACGAGGAGCATCTTATTCCTTGTTATACAAGGGCCGCGCCGCTACATATGGCAACCCGAAAGGGACATTTTCGCTTATATTAAGCCAATTATCCTGGACTCTTTTAGCTTATATTAAGCCACATATTCTCCTGAATCAGGAAATTAGCCGGTGGTTCCGGGATTGTCTCAATTCTCGGAGACGGGAGCCTTTACCGCAAAAAACCTTGACGTCAGTAAAGCCGTGGTCTCAGGGCATCTGAGAAACGGAAAGTTAGTTTAGGAGCTCCAAAAATATTAGGAAAGTGCACGAGAGAAGAGAAGAAAGAAGTTGAAGAAGAAACCGAAAGGTCGAGCAGCAACCGGAGAGAGCGGAGAGGGTCCAACACAACATCAAATGCGGTGAGTCCAGCTGGAAGGCACCCCGCACGCGTAAGACTGCTCCCTGAACGGCAGCGTGCCTGCAGCTCGGAGACCCGAGCCGCGGAGCACCTTAAGATCGTCAGGGAAAACCCTGTTGGTTCCCGCGTGTCGGCCATCTGGTAAAAGTGGCCTTGCCGCTGCCGACTGCTGCGGCAGGACCACGTGCGAGAAGCAGCTTTCCTGCTGCCGCCTCTTAACATCTCCAGCCACCGCCGGGCCCCCACGGAGCCCCGTTTCAGTTTCTGTTCAGCAGAAACTGTCGAGGCTCCCCGCCTACTTGCCGCCTCCGACCAGCTCCGCGCCGAGCTTAAAGGCGCCGCTGCGACCCTGCCACCCTTCCCCCCGCGCGTACCGCAGTCTACAACCGCGGGGAAGCGGCCGAGCCACGCACGTGTGTTGGCCGCCCCCCCGCGCCGCAGCAGGGACCCGCGCCGAGAGTATCCGTCTAACGGAGCCCAGCGCCGCCTCAACACCACCCGCTGCCCCTGCCAAAACCACGCTGCGCTCAAAAGCCACGTGGAAAAGCAGAACTGCGCCACGACCCCCGACCGCAGCACCCGACCGGCACTCGCTGCCACGTGACTGAGCCGCCGCCGCTAGCCACGCGCCGACCCTGCCCCGCGCCCGCCGTTTGCAGCCGCATCGAGGAGCCCAGCCGCCCCCCCGCCCGCCATCGCCGTCGCCTGCACCGATCCTGCCCCGCGCCGAGCCGCCCCCGCGCGCCCCTCCACGCCACAGTCGCAACACACCCGGACCCCGCAGAGACGCTGAGAGAAAAAAACCGCAGAGAAAAGACTGCCAGATAAACAAAACTGCTACACAAAGGACTCAGAACACATAGATAAGGTAAACACAGACACTTGTTTCCATAGAAACCTCATGATACATTGAAACGAAACACACACACAGGCGATTGCCAGTTTTTGCAATATAAAGCAGTTTACTTGGTTATAAACTCTGCCTGCACAAAGCACACAGGGAAGAACAAAAAACCCACACCGCACCCCCCGCACACACTGTTGATAGCAGCACAAAACAACATAGTAATAGAAACTCAGGGAACACACCAGGACAGAAGGAGGGAGCCGGGAGAACACAGTCGCTGGGAGGGGACAGAATTGCCATGCAAGCTCCTGGCCTATGGGCCCACAGCAGGCAATTCTGTTACAGCGATTGGGGGGCTAATTCAGCGTACATACCCCATTTCGCTGTGGATGACCAGCGACCACGTGGCCCAGTGTGGCCACAGCCATATTCCCATCCTCACATCCCAAACCCTGACCCTTCTCTTCCGACCCAGGTGCAACCCCGCCCCACCCACAGACACGAGAAGGGAGGCAACTCCGCCCCCTACTGGCCGCCTGTACCGCCCACCACCCCCCAACAGGGAACCGGTCTCACCGGGGCTACAAGGGGGAGAACTGGGAGGGATGGGAGGAGGGGGAGAAGGAACAAAACAAGATTCCAACGGGAGGGATCAAAAAGGCAAATGGGGAGAAGTCAGCTAACATGTGGGAACAATGTCTAGACAAGGCAATTCGTATGGAAAGCCTGAATGTTAATCAGGCATGCCCAGATGATATTAGCCAAAGCCAGTCCCCTCAGAGTCCAACCCTATATAGGGCTACAGAGAACCTGAGGCATTTGATAAGAGGTTCTGGTCTGTCTTTAACCAATATTTTCAAATATTTGGAGGCATTGAGTTACATCTATCCTTTCACCACATATGACTGGGAAGAATTGGTAAAATTAGTTCTCAGTGACACCCAATATACAGTTTGGTTAACTGATTTTCAGAAAAATTGCTCTATTCATATTAAATACCCACAGGTAGGCATCACGGCACACCAATTAAGCAGAGAAGCAAATTATAATTCAGATTTACAATCAAAGTACCATAGAGAGATAGCCAGGCAAGCCCTAAAAGCTATGGGAAGCATTCTCACTGCAGATCAAGATGATCATCTGTCCCCCATTAAAGTGTTACAAAGTTATACTGAGTTAAATTTAAGATGTGTAGACCAGCTGCAGTCTGCTTTAAACAAGCAAATTAAATACAATGAAGCCAGAGAGATGCTGTACAAGCATTTGGTTTTTGAAAGAGAAAATGCAAACTGTGAAAGAGTTTTGCAGAGCCCTCCTGCAAGGGAGAACTGTGACTTTATTGAGTTGGTGCAACCCTACCAAAAAGCTAGCTCTGAGAAGGAGCTACCTGCCTCTTTAGCTGCAGCTTTAGATGCCCAGATAAGAGTACAGAAAGAAGTCAGACACACAGCTAGTTGTATTAGTTGTGAAGAAATAGGTCACTCTCAGGAAGATTGTCCTTGGAAGCCCCTAAGAGCAACGTTCCATAAACACCCTAGCAACACAGAAATGACTGAGTTATACCAAAGGTGCCATAAGCAAGGCAATAGATGTGCTACAAGCATTATACTGCTTGTAGGAACCCTGCTTGCTGTAATCCTTTGTGGTACTACTTTTCATGTGCAAGAAAGGAAACAAATTAAGGCAAGCCACAATATGCCAATAACCAGTCCCCAAAATACCTGTGTATCCTGTACCCCAAAGAAAAGTGACAGGTGGAAAACATTGCAAATGTTAAGAGCAGAACATGCAGTCAAAAAACATGCAGAAGCCTTGCAGATCGGACTGCCCCTACCTATAAGGTTTCTAGCAAATTGGCCACGAGTGGTAACTGATTCAAAAAACCATTCCTTTACTATTCTCCTTCACCCGGAAGGTGCCCAGAAACCTTTCTTTCCCATCATGGTTTTAAACAGTGCACAATCTATGCAAAGTCACTGCTGGGCTGCCCTTCCTCAGAGGATGCAAAATACATCGATAAAGTATCAGACAGCCATAATACATCATTATGCAGATGACACATTAATAACCACGACCACAAGAAATAAACTGCTATTTGTTCCTGTTGCTTTAACCAAAACCACCCAAGATACAGATCTTCAGGTTGTTTCAGGAAGAATTCAACAACCACAACTCTGGACTTGCCCGAGACGAGAGAACACAGCAAAAAAGTTCTACACAGTTGACACAACTCGAGGTAAAAAACATTTATATTTACAGGAGTTGCAGAAGTCTCAGAGAGCTACCAATTGCTTAAAACCTGTTTTAACCATAACCATAAGAGACCTATACCCTCTCTTTATGTTGCTAAGGGAGAACTTCAATTTAAAGTCTGACAAATCGTTAGCTGCAGAGGCAAACCAAATGTTAGAGAATTATACCAAAGTGATAAAAGGCAAACAGAACAACAGAGATGCGGAAAGGCAATTCTGCCTAGCTCTTGTTTCCAGCAGGTATGAAGCATTGCAGTTTGTTTCAGTGGGATCAAACTGAGAGAAACCCACTGTTGGTTCTAAAACAGTTTTTTCTGTCGTGCCACACCACCTAAAATCTGTGTAAACTGCTAATATGTTTGCAAGCTTGTCATTTAGGGCAGAGCACGACTGAGAGAACTGGACGGAAAAAATCCTGCCTTTACCAACATTCCAGCTTTGAAAGACAATTTGGATAGGATGACAGCTGAGGACGCCGGATTTTAAGATGCCCTGGCAAGTTTTAGTGGTAATATTTTAATTCACCTCCTTGAGCACAGATTGTGACAGAAATCTGCAATTTGCCTTTAAAGGCCATACCAGATGCAAAACTGAACCAGTGAAAGGCCTCAGGGCCTTCACACATGCATCTGGAAAACCACAAAATGCTGCAATGACTTGAATAAATCCTGCCACAGAACAGTAGGAAAACTACAGCCATAAACCAAGCTTCTGTATAGTTCTGGAACTGATTGTCATTCATGTTACCTTGGAAAAGTTTTTTTGGATGTTATGATTGTGTTTATTATGCTATAAGATTAATATCCTGTCTTGAAAGTTAATTTCCTTGAGATATTGTTAACCCTTACCTGTTGTTTAAAATGCGTTCTGTTTGGTTCCTGTGAGTTGCAGAAGGTATGATTTCTATATATATGCACACAAATCACATCCTGACATGCCACAGACAATAACTGACAGTAACTAAGAAGCTGCTAAAGCAGCAATGTTTAACACAATACCCAGAGTTTTAAGGCAAGCAATTGTCTCATTCATTACATCAGAATACAGGTTCTCTAAAGAGACCATTCAAAACAGTTAATAAAAACTACATCATCAAAGTATGCTCACACTGTCAGGAAATTCCGGTCATGCCGTGTCAGAAAGTATTAACCCTAGCTGGTTAATAGCAAGTGAGTTCTAGCCAACAGATATATACATCTTTGAATTAGACATGTTGAAAATGTACATGCAAATAGATACACATCCACAAAGCATAACTGCTACTGCATCCACTAGACAAAACACAAAAGTGTAAAACACATGAGTTAGTTGCCTAGCAGCCTTGATACACTAAAATAGATTAACATTAATAATAACCAGATACTTCCTATCAAATAGGAAAATTCTCATGTCACAAGCATTCCACATTAAACCACAAAAGAGCAAAAGCACATTACATTTTGAAACACATGCTAAATTTAAACAAAAGGGGGGAGAACCAGTGTAACCTGTAAGAACATCTGTAAAAAGCTATGTATGTTATCAATTTTTGAGTTGTGACAGTGCTGAAAGAAGCAGGTCTGAAAAGCAGCACACACCTCAAGCGTTTGTTTCTCCCAAACTACTAATCATGGTAAGAATTGATTTCAGGATATTGGACGAGATCCCTGGATTTTGTGACTCAAACAGAATTCTCCCAAGTGTATAAAACCCTATTCAAATATGTGACCACAGCAGCAGGAATCAGAGCAATGCAGAAGTTTGAAAAGAGTTATGTTATGTTTTAAGTTTACATTAGAAAATGACCAACGTGGTGAAACACAGTCTCTGAAATGTGTGTGTGTGTGTGTGTTTGTGTGTGTTCAGTGTACGGTGGCCACCGATGAATGAGATGAGTGAATGAATGAAAATAGTTGTTTGGCTAGTCAAATAATGGAAAACAAAACACCTCACAAAATAACATTACCTCAGCCACAGGTCGCTTTTAAGAAATTGAAGTTTGCTAAGATTACCCTGTTCCTTAAATAAAGTTAAATCTCCCAGTTATAAAAACCCTCAGATTAAAAAAGTTGTAGTTTACACACAGTTAAGATAAACCCAAGTTAATAAAGTTATCTCTCCAAGTTGCACTACCCTATAGGAATATAAGAAAGTTTTAAAAATGTTTACAATAGAAGTATAAGTAGTCAAGCAAGCAATGTGCTGGATCACTGTGAAACTTGGTAACTTATAATGTTTTGATTGCTTGAATTGTTGTTTGCATTTTTGTTTACACTGTTATCGAGACTTCTTTTAGATATTTAGGAAAGGGGTGATGTGGGAGGCATGTCTAAGGGCACAGGGGATGTGCCGAGGTAACAGAGCCCAAGAGAGCATGCCCCGACATAAGTAACCTGGTTGGTTAAGGAAGTCACATGGTGTTAAGGAATAAAACCGCGCCGAGTTTGAAATAAAGTCTCTTTGACCACACCACCGCACGAGGAGCATCTTATTCCTTGTTATACAAGGGCCGCGCCGCTACACTTGTCAACTAGACCATGGTTGTAAGTTCCACATTCAGTCTCATCTTAAATACCTCCAGGGATGGTGACTCCATCACCTCCCTGGGCAGTTCATTCCAATGCCCAATCACTCTCTCAGTAAAGAACTTCTTTCTTGGTGCAGCTTAAGACTGTGCCCTCTTGTCCTACTGCTAGTTGCCTGGGAGAAGAGACCAATGCCCACCTGGTTAGAACCTCCTTTCAGGTAGTTATAGAGAGTGATAAGGTCTCCCCTGAGCCTCCTCTTCTCCAGGCTAAACAATCCCAGCTCCCTTAGCCGCTCCTCATAGGACTTGTGCTCCAGTCCCTTCTCCAGCCTCGTTGCCCTTCTTTGGACATGCTCCAGCACCTCAACATCCTTCCTAAACTGAGGGACCCAGAACTGGATGCAGGACTCGAGGTGCGGCCTAACCAGGGCCGAGTACAGGGGAAGAATCACTGCCCTGCTCCTGCTGATCACGCTATTCCTGATACAGGCCAGGATGCCATTGCCTTCTTGGCCACCTGGGCACACTGCTGGCTCATGTTCAGCCTGCTGTCAATCAGTGCATCCAGGTCCCTTTCTGCCTGCCCTCTCTCCAGCTGCCCTGTCCCCAACCTGTAGTGCTCCATGGGGTTGTTGTGGCCAAAGTGGAGGACTCAGCACTTGGCCTTGTTGAACCTCATCCCATTGGATTCGGTCCATCTATCCAGCCTGTCCAGGTCCCTCTGCAGAGCCCTCCTACCCTCCAGCAGATCAACACTCCCCCCCAACTTGGTGTCATCTGCAAATTTGCTAATGGTAAACTCAATCCCCTCATCCAGATCATCATTAAAGATATTAAACAGAGCTGGGCCCAACACTGATCCCTGGGGGACACCATTAGGGACTAGTCACCAACTGGATGCAACACCATTCCCCACCACTCTCTGGGCCCAGCCATCCAGCCAGTTCTTAACCCAGTGGAGAGTGCACCTGTCCAAGCCATGGGCTGCCAGCTTTTCCAGGAGTATGCTATGGGAGACTGTCAAAGGCTTTGCTGAAGTCCAGATAGACACATCCACAGCCTTCCCCTCATCCACCAGGCGGGTCACCTGGTCATAAAAGGAGATCAGGTTGGTCAGGAAGGACCTGCCCCTCCTAAATCCATGTTGTCTGGGTCTGATCCTCCAGCTGTCCTGTATGTGCCATGTGATTGCACTCAAGATGATCTGCTCCAGAAATTTGCCAGGCACCAAGGTAATTTTAAAATTGTTTGTTACAGCATAAGGATAACTTTAAAACCAGGATACAGCACTCAATTCTAGTTTAAGTATCTTCCTTGAGAAAATACTATAAAAAGCCACAACTAAAGGCAGTGGACCTTAGTAAAGCTATATAGCAAGACATCTAGGTTATTGTCAGTTTTACCTCAACATACATCCGCTGCCAGGCTTCCAGAATTGCTGCTGCCTTATCCTCACTCCAGTTGATATGTGAAACATATTCATACCCCTTGAAGTGTTCATACATTTGCTTAGGAGTCATTAACTGAAACATGGTTTGCAAAGCCTGGGCACTGAAACAGGGAGAGAAGAAAAAGAGGCATTAAAATAAGCATTTTCAGGAAATGTTTTTTCACTGCATAAAGGCTCAAATGAGGGCCTAACAGGCTTGCGCAAGTTCTGGATTTTATAAGCCACATGTTGATATTAAAATTGAACAGAGTATAATTATTCTACCATGTATCTGGTGAAGCTGTACTGGTCTATACAGTACTGATGCTAAGTCTATAATTCACTGAAGTTAGTGAGTATTTTGCCATTATTTTCAATAGGATCACTTTCAGGAGCAAAGAATGTAATCCTACAAATCAGTTATAAAGATCATGACCGACAGATTGCTATGAGAAGGACACAGAAACAGTTATTCCTATGAGATCTTGCAAATGCTGTTGGCAATTTGTCATTTGAAGACCTTGGTCTTTTTCATACCTTGGAGAGAAATGCCAGACTAAACTCCTGACAGCTGACAAGCAGTAAAGAATACACAAAAGGCAATAATTATCCATTGTAAATTTACACAGGATGTAACTGTATCCAACAATTTTAGAAGCTTAAAGAACTATTTCATTTTTCACCAAGAATAAAGTCTTTGGCTATTTGTTAGAAGACACCTTCCACTTTCAATATTTAGTGTCAATGTAAAAAACATCAAAATCCATATAAAAAGTTCTAGTAAAAATTATCTGTATTAAATATGTAAGA